CCACTTGGGCGAGGAAACTGCTCTCGTGTCCGTTCTATTAGTCCTGAGGGGCAGTAAAGCTACCTGTACTTACCCCCACTGCATTATTGATGGATGTAATGGTGCCATTACAAGGATAGGAAGCTGCTGATGTTTTAACACAGGGCTAATGAGGAAGCGTTAAGGAATTAAAGTCCACTGGGCCAACTTTGGCATTTTAAAGGGAGAGGAGCAGGAAGCAGAGTGGAGTGTTTTCACAGAGAATGAGGGTTACTAAAAGAATGGTGGTCCAAGCGCTAACACAGCTCAGCTATTTTCTAGGCCTTTATAAAAAAGATAGACAGCTAATTAATGTTCTAAGATATGGCAGTTTGGTGTGATAGTACTGGTCTGAGCCGAGCCACTGTGGTTTATATCCTGCTGACCGAGGCGTTTGAGTCCAGCCAAGTCGTCAACTTAGCCGTCTGTATTTTTTGAATGTGCAGACATGGGGTGTAAATCTTATAGACGTAAATCTTAAAAACAGCAGACGGCTACCTTTTAGCAAAGTGGTTGTGTGTGACAAAAAGCCGAGCTGGCTTCCTGTTCTGATCTGCATACCGGCTGCATTTGTAGCAGGCAGCACTGCTGTGGAAACAAGACAGGTTGTGAGGGTCAGGATTTTATCCAAGCAACATTTACAATCTGTCTTACTAATTAGAAAAACACACACACACATGCAAGAAAAGACACTCTGCTCTCCCATGAACACACCATACTGTGTTGATCCAGCACCAAAGTGCATTATGGGTTTTTTTTCATGGCTTTTATTTAAAATAAATCAGAACACACCTGCTGAAGTTTGTAAATCATATTTTTGCTTTGGCTTGATTTCTTTTTTTTAATTATAAGATGAAATTAATTTACTTCCTATCTGATAAGCCTTTGTACTTTCCTCAGCAGCTTTGTTAAACAAGTTTTCAAATGAAGTGTAATTAAATAAAATAAAAGGGTGCAAATGAAGTCACATTTGTAATTATTAACTCTGCAGTGAAAGTGAAATTTAGACAATTTTGCAACATGTCTGCAAGTACAGATGTGTTGAAACACCCATTTAAAAAAAACTCTAATTGGATTTGTGGGTAAGTGTCTTTGTTATCGACTCTGTGTTGGAGAACAAAGGATTTCAGCAACGTGCACGAATACACGTGCATTCTCAAGTAAGCGTTGTCTGATGTGCCTTCTACTCTGTTAACTGTACAGAACTTACACCTACCTGTTGGTAATTTTCACTACTTTTTCTTGCAGGTATTTTCTGCAAATGATGGAAACATTAAGAATGAATGAACATTTTTACTATTTTAAAAAGGCTTACATTTCATATCCATATTTTCTGTATATTTTAGCGTTACTTACTATTTCTTTTTAGGTCAAGCTTGTTATATACATTTGAAATAACAAATACGTATTAGTAGGAATTGGGTTTATGGTAAAGAAACAAAAACAAAACAAAACTATGGACAAGGATGTGAATGGGAATGAAGTGGAGTAGAGGAGTTGCCATTTTCACAAAGTTCACTTAGTGCAGCTTATATATGATAATTATTGCTCGCTCTACTACAGATACAAATGTTAGTTTGTTCTCAAGGAAACTTGACCCATGTGTACCATTGTCCGTTTTTTATAACCAAGATAGATTTGAAAAATCTATATAATTGTAATTGTCCTTCTACTAACTAGTAGGTACTCTTTCACTTAACATACATATATTACCTTTTTGTTAAAGATCACATGCAGGTGAAATCCAGTGAGCAGT